GGGGGGTGGAGTCGGGGAGGACAGCCCTGGTGCTATTTTGATGTAATGCGTTCTGCTCTACCAATAGGCATCAGTACGACACCAGTCGGAATGTGCATTAAAATGCCTAAATTAGACTCTTATCAGCCAGCCTTCCGATTACCGGCACTCCAGCTAACTACCCAGCCTGCTCATTTCTTCCCATCACACTTCTGCAGCCATTTACTAGCATTTCAAAGTGCCTTCGAGGCCTCTGTCCTCACGTCAAAAATCCCCCCAAACCAAAAATAATATAATCTTCCATATTATGGAAATCAAGTCAAGTTTAGGTTCATCACAGACACAAATAACAAGAGCTGAAAATGTGGCAATCTGAAAAAGAAAAAAGCCAAACTGTTTCTTAATCATCCAATAGTTTCTTTCTAGACAAAAACTCCCGAAAGCCACTTGTTTGGCATAAAACTCACCCTACAGCAATCTGTGGGAATCTTTTGTTTTTTGCAGGGAAAAAAAAAAAATGGAACTGATTTCCCAGCCAGGCTCTCCAAATACCCTTCTTTTTTTCCCTTGCCCGTCCTGCCTGCGCCCCCGGCCTGAGGTTTCCTTCTGAAATGGCCCACATCAACCTTGCTTTGACAAGTGATTGTTCCCAGGACATTTACCTTTCAGAGTGATGCTCTGGACTAAATTCTGGGCAACAGCTCCCTTTCAAAACACAACACAAAACAAAACAAACACAAAAAAACCCAAAAAAACAAAAAACCCACACCAAGATGTCTCTATCTGGTTCCTGTTTGGCCTCCGCTGAGCTTTTTCCCTCCAAAATGCAGACTGACTTCTCCCACACACTGTGGTTTGGCCCCTGTGCCCCGTTGATGTGTTTTACTGAGAGCCCAGCTCTGTGCCTCTGGAAAGCAGGGCCAACTGTAATAAGGCCAACGAGAGAGCAAAGCCAATGCACAGCCTGGGACAACTGAGGGCCGAGGCCGTAGCTGACCACTGGAGGGTGGCTGGTTTCCCCTCTTATAAATAACCCTACAATGAACATCTTTGTGCTACATCTCTTTCCCACCATCTCCTCAGCGCAGGCTCTAAGTGGTGGGGTTCCACGGGCAGGAGTATTTTAACGGGCCTCCGTCCCTGTCAACACATGCACTTTCCAAGGCAGTGAGGGAACGAGGCTCACCCTCCCTTGCAGAGGTTCTTGAAGCTACAAGAGCCTCCCTTCTCCACCCCAAGGTGGGGATGGCACCGCTGTGAGGACAGTGAAGCTTTCAGTATGGTAGGGATGGGGAAGAGGCTCCAGATGGCACGTTCTAGCCCGTCTCTACCACTTCCAGGCTGGAGACTGTGGCAGGCCGCCAGGCTCACTGAGGTCCAGCATCTTCTGCCAGGACATGTAACACTTGCCGGAGCAGGGCTGAGCAGAACACCCGGCGCTTAGGAGGCTCCTAAACGTGAGGGCTGGAGGGCGGGGGGAGTCCCAGTGGGCCAGCGGAAGGGCAATAAACTTGAATGGTCAAATCTCAGGACCAAGCAGGACGGGTGTAGGGAAGGCCCCTTCCAAACCCCAGGGCATTTCTCCTACATCCATCCAACCATTCACTCCATCAGTGTGTGGCTGCTGTGCCAGGCACCGTGCCAGGCCCTGGGGATGGATGGAGTAGCTACCGGGGCCTCCCGGCTTCAGGAGCCTACCATCCAGCGACGGGGAGGCGGGGAGAGAAGAGGACATAGGAAGTGGCAGGTCTATGATCTGGAGAGTTCTCGCTAAGGCCTCGCTGAGCTGAGACTCAGACTAGAAGGAGCCTGCCAGGCCACATGTGGGGGGATTTCCAGGTAGAGGGACAGCAGGTGCAGAGGCCCAGAAGAGGGAGGAGCTTACTGAGATCCGACAAGAGCAAAGTGGCCGTTGGGGTGGGAGGCAGGGAGTGACCCACGGGCGGGACCCCGCATAGCCCCATTCCCGGCCGCACCCTGACTCCTCCTCCCCCTCGGACAAACCCTGTTCTGTTTCTGTTTGTCCTCTGCCAGCACCATGCCCGCCCCTGCCCAGCGTGCAGCCTCATTGCTCGCTCCGACGAGCACCACCCGCCCGTGCTGCCCCCCCAGGTGGCCCTGCCCCTGCGCCTGGGTGGCCGGTGGGTCAGCCCCGGGTGCGAGGTGCGCCCCGCCGTGCTGTTCCTCACCAGGCTCTTCACCTTCTACGGGCACAACCGCTCCTGGGAAGGATATTACCACCACTTCTCAGACCCCGCCTGCCGCCAGCCCACCTTCACGGTCTATGCAGCCGGCCGCTACACCAGGGGCACGCCCTCTAGCAAGGTCCTCGGCGGCACCGAACTGGTGTTTCAGGTCACGCAGGCCCGAGTGACTCCCATGGACCAGGTCACCACGGCCATGCTCAACTTCTCCGAACCCAGCAGCTGTGGGGGCCCGGGCGCCTGGTCCCTGGGAACCGAGCGGGACGTCACAGCCACCAATGGGTGCCTGCCACTGGGCATCAGGCTCCCCCACGTGGAGTACGAGCTTTTCAAGATGGAGCTAGACCCCCTCGGGCAAAGCCTGCTCTTCATTGGACAAAGGCCCACGGACGGGTCGAGTCCCGACACCCCGGAGAAGCGTCCCACATCCTACCAAGCACCCCTGGTGCTCTGTGGCGGAGCGGCTGAGGGAGTCTCTGGGCCCCCGCTGCACAAGCCTCCGCGGAAGCCCCTCAGTGGTGGGGGGCCATGTCCTCCAGCGGCCCCTCTCCCCGTGCTGCCCCTAGCTCTAGGGCTGGCCTTCCTCAAGCGGTTATGAAATTGGTCTCTGAGCTCTAGGCCGCCCCTCGGGGACCCTCCCCCGGGGGCCTCCCTCTGGGCACAGACTGGAGGTTTGTGAGGCATCTGCGAGAAGGGCCCCTTCTTCCCTCTGCTCTGCTGTGGATCGTTCCTCGGCCCTGCTGACATCCGCCAGCCTGGGTCCCGGGGGCTCAGTGCCCAAGTCCGACAGCACCCACCAGGCCTGCACCACGGCCAGCAGTCCAACCCGAGTGTTGACCGTGAACCTGGGCGCGGCAATGTCAAGGGCTGCACGGCTCTAAATGCTCGCTCCCGGTTTTCCTGGGCAGTGGCCCCTTCTCCCGCCCCGTCCTTGGCGTTTTGTGGCGTGGGAGCGAGGTTCTGCACGGGGATGCCGCCGCCGCTGCTCTGCCAAGCCTGTGGAGTGTTGTTTAAAGATTATTAATTTGCATTTAGCAATACAAACTCAAACCAGGGCCATGAATTAAAGATGCTGCTTGGGGCCTTCGGTACTTGGCAGCTTTCTGGAGGAGGTCTCGTCTCTTCGGGGGCAGCTCAGCTTTCTTGAGTTTTCACTGCTGGCATTTGTCTGCACTTGCCGGTGCGTCTGCGAGTCAGGCCTCGAGCTGTCAACACCGCACGCGGACGAATCCGGCCCTCCCGGGCCAGGATGCGAAGGAAGCCGCTCCGCCAGAGCCCACAAGAGCGCCCCGCTCGCCCACACCCGGCTGGCTGCTGGGGGCAGGTCTGCGGAGGAGCACTGCATTTCCAGCCTTTGGAAAGTAATTAGTACTAATGATAGCAGTGACACTAAGATGCTCTGTAATTAGCCCTGTGCAGGCGTCCTCTGTTTTCAAGATTCTCTGCGCTCAACTGACAAGGAGGGAGAGAGACCTCCGAATGTGTCTTTGGGGCCATCCTAGGGAGAGGTCGGGGTCACCAGGCTACACGACAACATCTCGAGGGGGAGGTGGCCTGCTCGCCCGGATGCTAATGTGCCGATGTCCTCCCCTGCTCAGAGGGGGCTGTCATCTGGTGGGGACAGGCTGTGCCTCTGCAGGGACCCTGCCCGTGTTCCCGAGGCCTCGTCTGTACACTGCGAAATTGACTGGCATCCTGGTGGGCTCAAGGGTTTCCAGGACTCTGTGCCTATGATTCGTCCCGTCCTTCCTCCGCCCGATCCCTATCTCTGGCTCTTATCACTGATCTTGAACCATTGTCTGTAAGGCTAATGAGGCTTTCAGAGGGAAGCCCTTGTCCTCTGTTAGATTGTGTGGGGTTCCATCAGCCCGCCGAGATTGTTCTAAGTTATCTACCCATTGTTCTTAAAAAGAAAAAGGACCCACCAAGTTAATATTCTCTGTAGGTCTGAGAGCTATGAGTGTTCCTGGCATATTTACCAAAGTACAAAAAATAATTAGATTATTTACGGTCTCAGACTGCATCAGGGTGGGGGGTGCGCTGCCTGGTGGGGATGAGGGTGGGTGGCGATAATGTGTCCATGGCTGAGCAAGTCTTGTATCCGAAGCTCGAGGCAACCATGACACCATTTGTCATCAAATTTGAATCTTTTAATAAAATTAAACAGCCTGAAAAATGTTCTTGCTGGTTATTAAAGTCAACCAAGGGGATTACGGTTCTAAAGAAAGGAAGTGAAGTGTCTTCCAGGGAATGTGCGAAAGAGAATAAAACCAGTGGAGGTTAACCCCGGCTCTCTGCGACGCCCCTTCGGTTTAGGCGACTGCCCTGCCCTGTTACAAATTCTCTAGGAGCTTCCAATGCACTCAGAATAAAATCCCCACTCCTGGGTCAGTGACGTCTGCAATGTCCAGCAATGCCTCCCCACACCCGGCCGCACCGCCCTTCCTTCTGGCTCTTGATCGCAACAAACTGGTTCCTACCTCAGGACCTTTGCATGCGTCACTGCTGCTTCTATTCCCCATGATCCTCAGAAGCGTGGCCTTTTCAAGTCTCAGACCGGATGTCACCTGCTTAGGGAGGCCGACCATCAGCAACGCCAAAAGGCAGCCTCCCTTCCCCTTCTGTCCTTCTGTCTATCCCCACCCGTTCCGTCATGCAGTCTCTACCTTGTAATGCTTACTGCTCACCGTCAGAGATGACCTCATTCGTTCATGTTTATTCTCTGCCTCCTCTACCATAACCGTAAGCTCCGTGGAACAGGGAAGGACTGAGTCAGTCTCCGCCATCTCGTCCAGCGCTGCCTGCACGCACTCAGTAAATACAGTCGAGGAAACCTATGTTTACGATCCCAGCTAATCCTCACACCAAGACCTGTGATGAGGCCACAGGCACATACAGGCACAGCATCCCTTCCAGGGTGGCGGTGGGGGGGGATACAACACGGGAGGTGAGGGGTGTGACTCTGCTCGTGAGGATGCTAACGGCTCAGAGAGGAGAACAGGCTTTGCCCAAGGTCACCAGCAGCTGGGCCCCAGACTCCGAGAGCTGAGCATCTGGCTTGCGGTGTCCTTCTGGGATTCTAGTGCCCTCCTAAGGGTGGGATTCCTTGACTGTGTTTGGGGAAAGCAAGTCAGAGCTCCTTCGTGGGGCCCAGCATGAGCCACTTCTAATTAAAGGCTCCCCTGACTGGACCGAGGTGCCCTCCCTCCCAGGGCCTCTTGGTTCTGGAGCAGTGGATGCTGACAGAAAGAACCATGGCTGGAGAAAGGACAACAAGCCCTTCTCTCCTGAGCTGAAATAAGAAGGCGTCATCTGGGGGCCTGGGGGGCCAAGGGGGCTGGGTGAGAAGCCCACAGACACCAGCCTTCTGGCCCCTTTCTCTGCTCCTTGTAGAACCCTCCACATAAAACCCAAGATAGCTTTAATCAACAGAGGGGAAAGTAAAACCCATAGTTCTAGTTCAAAACAAAACAAAACAAAATTAATGTTCTCCATTCTATGTTCAGTCACGTTTAAAAGGGAAGGAAAAAAAACCCCGTGCAGTTTATAATTTCATAGTGCAAGCTCCCAGGAGAGTAAATGAGGCTTTTTTTTTTTTTTTAATAAAAAGTTTAAATTGTATACAGCTCTCAGAGGCCCATTAACTAACAGATGCTGGTTATCAAAAGAAGCTATTTCTTTGCTTTTTCTAAGCGAATGTGTTTAATCTCCCAGCGGTGCTACCGGCCTGAGAAAGAGCAGCTCACAGTGACGCGGGCTCTGCCCACTCAGGCCGGTCTCATGGGGCCTCGGTGACTCAGGCGTGAGGGAGGCTGGAGGGGACAGGGCGGGAACAGCAGCTCCTGACGCAGAGGAGGGGGGGAAGCGCATCAGGGCCATCAGTGGGGCCCTGGGAGGGGTGGGGGGCCGTTTCTGCTCCCTGGGGGTGAGCTTGGCCCTAAGTGTCTAGAAGCCAGTCCTCCTCACACACACCCCACTAGATGGATGTGACGACGGAGGACTGACCTGCCCCCCCCCCGCCCCCGCATCAGGGTCTTCTCTTCGCCCCTCCCTCTGCCTGGAATGCTCCAGCACCTTAGCTTTCACCAATCACAATTAAGGACCCTGTGCTTCATTTCCCTATTGTCGGCCTCTCTCCTCCAGGAGTCCCCTGACGGCTCACTCTTGTCTGTCTTGTCCCCCACCATGCCCCCAGCGTGTGGAAAGCGCCTGACACATAGTAGGAGCTCAGTAAACACTGGTTGAATGAGTAAACCCACTGAGTACTGATTTGGAGGCTCCAAACTCAAGCAGCCAGAGGACAGCCACATACTCTAAATCCGGCTTGGAATTTTGATGTTGCTTTATTATTATTATTATTATTTTAATAAAATGGGCAGAGCAGAGCCCAGAACTGTGAACTTGAGGAAATCTGTTTTCTCCTACCCAGGATCTTCCTAGGAAGGGCATTGGGGGCCAGCTCTGTCCCAGAACAAGGGGCCACACAGCCTGACTTGGGCAGGATCCCCTGAGAGACCCCTCAGGTTTCACACGTACAGAGGTCACGGAGATGGGGAAACCCTCAGCATCATCCAGGCACCTAAGACTCTCCATCCTTAGCTGTGGAGCCCCCGGCTTCAGTTTCCTCCCCAGGAAAACGAGCTGAAACACCTGGAAAGACCGTGCCTGCCTGGTAAGAGATTCAAGAAGCAGCAATGTCGTGTTCGAAGAGGAATGGCTTTAAACAAAAATCTCAGTGAGGATGGGTCTTCTCCCAGTGATATATTTACTTCCTAAGGGTTATTAATAACCTACTACTCTTGCTCCTACATTTGGTACTTTTTTAATCCCTCAGGAGAAAAATAATTAGCAAAAAACCTTATTTTTCTTGGTCATCACTGCTGTTAAAATCAATGGTCAGTTTATTAAGAACTACATGTAGGTACTGAGTACCCGACATGGGCCAGGTGGGACACCGGCTTTCACATCTACTTCCTTCTGAAGCCCCCTGTAAATTATGGGAAAGGAACGAAGAGGCACAAGTTCACATGGATACACAGGAAAGGAGAAGAGTCAAGTAGAGATAGCAGCAAACCTCTGGAGTCTGGAGGGCTGATGGGTAACATGTTGAGAGCAGGTGACAGAGAGTGGAGAGAAAGGTGCTGCCTGGCCGGTTTAGGGGTAGGGGTCAGAAGCAAGTCCACTCATGCCCCCAAAGGCTTAGGAAGCAGTGGTCTAAGGAATCCTAGGGGCGGGAGAGCACTGGGGCTGAAAACAGGACTATGTGAAAGTCTTCAAAGGAGTTTTACCCCCAGATCCTCTTCCTAACCCCTGTATGAAACTGGAAATGCAATCGGGATGGTTGGACTTGCAGACCATCCAGGGCAAGGTGCCATGCTTAATAATATAGGTAGCAAAGAAAACTCTACCCATTAAACGGTTGGGTTGCACAGCCTCCTTCTCCTTGAGAGACAGTGGTCAGGCTTCTGCTACCACACAGGAGACAGGAAGATTCCAGAGAAATGAACCCACATTAAACCAACTACAGATACTGACAGCGGGAAGTTCCCCCAAGGAGGTGTCTGTGAGGTCCCCACCCGTTAGCTTGCATAGAGACCC